CCGTGGACCACGGTCTTTTATTTTATAGTTATGCAGCGAGGACACTTTTACTGCGAGCGTACCGCGAACGTTTCGTGGTTTCAGCGCCGCGAGCCGGCTTTTATTGTCCTGCACTTTTTACCCCCGAACGAAAACAGCCAGTGTCCTTTACTTGGAACACAAGTCGAGATCACACTCTTGCCTTTCCAAGGCTAGTAGCTATTTCAATTACGACGCGAGCAAGTTTGTTCCGGTCACTTTCAACTTGGTCGAGTGACGATGATGGATCTTCGATTAAAACTTCTCACATATGAATACATTCCGTGTGCATTCACAACGCGTAAAATATTTTCATGTTTCAGAAATCACGAGACATTTAACGCAAGAATATACACTGCAGAGATATTTCGTGTCACGAAAGGATCTATACAGTAACAATTCATTGTGCCAGCAAACCTCACAATCAGTACTCACGATCAGTCGAGACGTCATTAACAATTGTCACATGCCTATCAATTACCTAAATTCTTTACTAATTTTTTACTATTATGTACATGTTTGCAACAAGTACTGTCACCAGACAGAGTCACCACCCTACGTACATTTTTAGATTTCCTTCAAACGTGATCGGTGCCGATCATGTCGCAGACGAATGTAGTACGAATGTTGTGAAAATGTTTCATACGGCTAATGTTGTCGAAGGGCACAGATATGAGATCTAACGCGTTGTCGCGACTACTATCTAACGATACGAACGTACGTATGTACATACGTACGCGATATCGGCGGAAAACAGCCTTCCGTATTCTGATTCGCCAGGCCACATTCGAGTGAGCAGCGAACGATGCCCACTTTTGGGGCGTAGCCTGGAATATTTACGATATTACACCGGCGTCGATGTTAACGCACTCGCGAAGGTAACTCGAGGAAAGATAAATAGCTCGGTGAAAGGTGTACGGCCGAGAGGTACCGGCGGCGCGCGCGGTTTTGCATCGAACGCGGTCACGGTTTTCGTACGGTAAGGCGACCTTACCGATCTACGATCGATGCGATATAATTGTACCTAACTGGAAATCCCCGTGATAAATGCGATCCTTTTGTTAGCCTGGATAATGCGGCAAGTTTTCTACGTTAAGCCCATTGTTGTCACGGATACAACGTTCGCTATACGTCATGCGAAACATCGAGCGGGCTCTCGTACACGAACAACGTGCCTGGGCAATTACTTTTACGCGCCATTTTCGAACCGATCGTTTAAAGATTATTAATCGGCCGATAATTCTCATCCGGGACGGAGACAGTTTCTTCGCTGTCGAGCGGTGCCGACACTCGCCCCGACAGCGCCAATTCGCCCAAGTATGACAAAATGTGGTCCCATTTTTTTTTTCTTTTTTATTTTTTTTGGTATTTTTTTTTTTATTTTCGCGAAAGCAACCCGCAGAAACGAGGAAACAGCGGAGATATGTTCTACTTGTTAAAGTAGGTATTACATCGAATATTCTAATTTGAATGTTTCGTCTAGCTTTACGTTTGTGTTTCGTGCATTCTGCGAATTTTTGGAATTTTAAATTTCTCGGAAATATACTCGTTGGAATAGAAAAATGAATTCTCTTCTAGTCTTTGGTATTTTATATGTATAAACAATTTCACAGTACAAATTCAGATTTTTGGCACGCTCCTTTGCTGTTTAATTAATTTTTGCTATTAATATTTTTTGAATGAGTAATAATAACACGTTACACTGTAGAGTTTATTTAACCGAATTAAATCAATAAGACTAAGATTAATTCAGTAACGCTGTTATCTCGAGCAGTAATCTTTCGATCACTATGATGCTCGAATAGTGATAAAATTAGAATTAAAATTTATTGCAAAATTAATAGCTTTAATAAAAATAAAATGCACGTTAAATTTAGTTCCTGTAAAATTAGTTCCTTAAAAAGACAGCGAGTGAGTTTCTGCCGATATTTTTTTAACAGAGACGAATATTATTTCATAAAAATTTCTGATGTATCTTTAGCAAAATCCTTCTATGTAGTAAATTAGCATATTATAGTTTCACGTGTATTCGTATAAATTACGAGTATATTTCGATCGTATCGTATACATATAAATGCTTGAGGACTTATTAAGTATTGTATCAAGTGATATTTACTTTGGACATTTCATCTGTTTCTCACGTACGTTTTGTACGTTTTATTTAAAATTTGAATTCAGATTCATCGTATAAACATATAAAAAATTTTCCCTGTCAGATCTCTTCTTCCTCTATAGACTCATTATATCTCTTAATCACTGTTCTGCACGAAATTCATTCGGCGAGCTGCATTTATAAAATTCATTATTTCCCTCTAAAATTCTTTCAAACAGTTTTCACGATTCCCCGTCATGTATTTTAGATCGCTCTCTTGTACAAATGGAAAATTCTAGCCAATTAATTATTAAATAACAGCCTGGATCAATTATCACGTACGAGACCAGGTGTTCTAATATTTATGGGGGTACACACACACACACATATCGATAGAGGCATTCATATGGCGATTCTCGCGAGATACGATATATCGTGATACCAATTTTGCGTAACCAGTGTCCCTACGTTCAATTTAATTTTTCTATAATAAAACATTCAATTACGCTGGCTATAATTATCGAACGTGAGCAAACTAGTTTTCTAAAAAAGTAATAATTCCTCTATTCACAGATTTATTATTTTTTCATTACCTGTACCTATTAAAATTAACCAGATCAGAATCAATTTTGTCTTTAATTATTAATTAATAGAAATTTTTGGTATAATGCTCGAAAGTTTTCGAACGATTTATGATTATTAATGAACTTATTCATATCTTTATGAATACAATTTAAAAAAAAAAATGGAGCCTAGATAAAGTATCATTTTATTTGTTAAACATCGTCATATATACGTTATATTTTCGAGTCTCACAATTGCATAAAAATCCATGGTTTAATTCTGGCACACGTAAACATTTAATTTGATAATTAAAAACCTGTCAGCGGCTTTGTACTCTTTGTACGTCAGTTTAACATATATTCTTTCTTACAAAATGTACAAGACTGAACATCATCATAGAGAGAAACGATTGAATAAAAATTTAACCTACAATTCTGTAATTCTAACTATTTATCTTTCCGTTATAGATTCTGTCAATTTGATACCAAGGGACAGGTGAAGTTTGAAAAAAAAAAAAAAAAAAAAAAAAAAACGAGGGACAAAGTAACTAAAAAATAGATAAAACGGTACTCACTTGGTGTAGAAAGCGCTGTTGCACTCGGAGCAAGAGAAGCACCGTTTCCTCCCGGATTCGTTCGTCGTCCAGCCTGACGACGACGATGACGCCGAGCCGGTGCACTCTTTCTGATGGGCGTTTAGGTCCGATCGTCTCGAGAAGGCCACGAGACACTTGGCACAGGGGAACGGTCGTTCCCCGGTATGACTCCTGATGTGATTCCGTAATGACACTTTCGCGAACGCCTTCTTGCAAATGGGGCAGGAATACTTGGCCAGCGATTTGCCAGGGTTCCCGTCCTCCTCGTTGTCGTTCTGCACGGCCCCCGCGTGAAGAGCCTCGTGAAAGATAAACTCCGCCTGAGAGTTGCTCGAGAAGCTACATCTGCCGCATCTCCATTCGTCTTTCGGGTTCGACGTTCTCGTTTTGCTTAATTCGCCAACGGCTGTGCCGTGGCATTTGTTCTCTCTCGTGTGTCTCGTCACGTCTTGCGAGAGGGCGAATAACATCCCGCATTTCGGGCATCTAGAAATATCGATTGGGCACACGGTGAAACGAGCGTGATAGAGCCTTCTGGTAAATTCTGTCTTTTATTTCTCGTTCTGAATCGAGTGAATCCTCCCCATTTGCGTTAATTCGTAAACAACAAGGAACAGATAACTCGCGAATAATGAGTGAAATAATACCAATGTAAGGTGATTTTATGATTATTTATAAGACAGAATCGAATGCTGTTTACTACGAATGAAGAGAACATGTATGAAACGAAATGGAAAATTACTTTCCGCAAAACATCGAGTTGTCAAACAAATGTATCGTTCAGTATCGTCTTTTTTATTCGTCGTCAGATGAAATTAATTGAAACGAAATTCATCAGAATTCTAATCATTACAATTGTACAAATGTTCGACGCGAGTCAAAATAAAAAAAAAAAAAAGAGAGAAAAAAAAACGCGCGACGAAGTTACCTGTAGCAAAGCTCGGGATGCTCGTCGAGAAGATGTTCCTTGTGCTCCGACAGATTCGCCTGCTTCTGCTTGCAGTGAGGGCACTCGCGCGTCATCGACGTCGCCGAGCTGTCGTTGCTTTTCCGAGCTTTGACCATCTCTTTGTGGCTGGACGTCCTCCGGTGCAGAACAGCGTCCTGGGCGGTGGCGAAGTTCATCGAGCAGAACGAGCAGAAATAGGGCGCCGGGGTTGATCGCGAAGGCTGCTGCGCCGCCTCGTCTTTCTTCGCGATCCCTCTCGCGACATGGGCGGACAACTGGTGACGCTGAAGTGCCACCAACGATCGAACGACTTGCGGGCATAGATTGCATTTGATTCGCTGTTGATACTCGTCGGTCGCGGTCGGACCCTCCTCGTGGCCGGTCTCCTTGACGTGCAGCCGAAGTTGTAAATTGTAGCGGAATCGGCGATCACAGCTGCCGCAGGGCAGGGCCCGCTGACGGCCGATCATGATCGGCACCGAGCCATTCATCATCGAGACGACGTCGCGGTGGCTCCGCTCGAGCATGTGCGAGTCCATCGTCTCGTCGTCCTCGCACCAAAAGTCACAGGGTGTGCATCTGTAGCTGCCGCCGATCTGCAAATGAGAATTCAGAGGCAGACTGAGAGCGCTGGACTTTTGTATATATCACATACAGGGTATGTAGATATTTCTCTTTGAGTAAACAGACCGACGAGAGAGAGAGAGAGAAATTTATCAGATTTATTTCAAACACGGGTAGACTGCTGGCAGATGTTTAGGTATTTATGGGAAATTGAAGATTACAGATAAAATTCTGCTCAACCGTTTGCATTTCTTTGTCGAGTGTGACTCGACAGTCAGTTTCATCATCACAGGAACTCTCATGTTGAGTCACACTCGATATTTTTAAATTACCAATTAAATTGCAAAAAAGAAACAAATAATTTTCAAATCAGTTTCTACAGTTACGTGAAATTTTAAGAACCTTAAATTGTTAAGCCGTCAAAGACCAATCGAAGCAGGCAAGTTTGACAACAACAGAACGTTCTCGGAACAATAATCCTGCTAAAGGACTTTTTGCCAGCGCAGAAAAACGGGCGTGCTGCTGCCCGTTGGTCGTACACATACAAAAATAAATCGATAAATTTCTACGTTGGCAAGAGATTCTAAACTGTCCTTCGTCTAATACGATTCCACGAATAATCATGTGCGTACGTATTGTTGCGTATACCGCGATCACTCGGAAACCAGACTCATCGTCGACTCGTTATATTAATTACAATTTAAGATGATTGCTGAATATTCAATTCACTGTAGAATATTCTGGACGAATAGTTCGTAGAAACGAAGCTTTACCACGCGCTTGTAAATCAACGTCAGAACGTTATGATAAAGCGAGTTACGTTATATATATCTACCTGCTCGAGGGTTTTTGCATGAAGATCGGATCGCCAATGACGCAGAAACGTTTCCTCCGTGTTGCAATAAAAGCGACAAGAGAAACACTGAAAAGGGCACTGCCGAACCACATTCGCCATATTTTCCAGTAAAAAGCGACGCGCCCGTGGCCCGCGAGGATTTACACCCGCCACGCGGCAGTGATAATGAGAGAGCAAATGCTTGCCCATTTGTGTCCTTCTCACTCGGGCATGGCACATCTCGCAGCTCAGTATTTCCTTTTCTCGTTTTCGTAAGCTTTTCTTCGCGCCTCTCGTTTCCCCTGCTTGCTTGATTCTCTGTCACAACCGAACACAGATATCCGTCACTTTCTTTATCTTTTCGATAAATAAAGGAACACGAAGAGGGTTAAGCTGAAACTGAGCTGAAAATGAAAACGATGGACAAAGAAAATTCAAAGAAAAGAAAAATTGCTCTTTGCTCTGTGTGATTTGTCGTAGAAGTTTAAAGATTTAGTTGACACATTAGTAGTCGGAATATTGCTACGTTACGAATAAATTAATTATAATTAGTAATAAGTATCTGTATCGGTCAGAAGTTTAACTATAATCCATTTTAGATTAATCTAAATATACTCCGACACGTTTGTTTCCCTCTTCTAAGAATGATAGAAGAAGAGAAGCTGATCGATAGAGTCGAAGATGATTACCTGATTGCGAGACGATGACTTTTTCGCCGCGTGTAAACCCGCGGCACGCGGCAAGGAAAGAACGTCATCGATTTCTCGGATGCTCCTTCTGGCGTGCAAATCAGAGAGAAGATGCCTGTTGTAGACCAATCGAGAGGCAAGTTTCCTGCCGCAAGGACTGCACCAATATCCTGATTCGATATCCGTTTGTGCACCCGGTACCCATTTCCCTCGCGTGTGTCCTGGCGATGGTTGACCGACGTTGCTCTTAGTCTCGTACTCTTCCGCTTTCTACCAAATGCCAGCAGAGATTTAAAAGTAAAAAAAAAAAAAAAAAAAAAAAAAGAAAGAAAGAAAGAACAAAACAAAATACGAGAGACTTCTTTTGTCCAAAGAACCAAAGTCTTTCATATTGAGAAGCTTCTGTACGTGAAAAGTTTGACTTGCTCCGTTTGTATTTGTGCGTTGCATGAAATATTTTTGAAATTTCATCGATAGTGCACGGTGAGACACGGTCGTCATGATATATTGGTAAAATTTAAAGTACTCTAAACGAAAGTATTTAAATAGACAGAGTTCTGTTCGGCTCTATATTTTATTAACATTTTCATTTCACAGCACGAGTACCTCGATCAATATTCAATTGTCAGAAAACAAATTGTCTATTTTTCATAAATTCATTCGTCACGAAAATGACGATAAAAGATGATAAATTTGAAAGGAAATTAGAAAAAATAACTATATATTCGTAGCGTTTCGAACAATCTCTTTTCTACAACTTTCAATTTATATCGTTTATCGCTGAAATGACCATTCAAGCTGAATATTAAATACACAGTAGAATAAAACGAACATTTCATCATTTGCTGTAGAAAAAGTTGGGGAATGGGAAAAATTTTAACATCTCTTTTTTTTTTTATCGGTCGGTAGATTCCTTAGTTACCTTAATCTAAAGTTGAATTAAATCTTTTCCTTTCTTGGGAACAACGAGTCTGTAAGAATACTGTAGAACAGAAATTGATAGTTAATTTACCAAATTAGAAATACGCTCGAAGCTTCGACCAGTAATATAATCGATAAGTAATATATACGTATCCAGATAGGTCCAAAGAGTTGAGTCGAAAGCGAGAAAGCGACGTTAATACACGAGAACCCTCTGACGAAACAATTTCGACGATTACATACCTGCGACGCGTCCGAGGGTCGCCACTTGCCCCCGGTGTAGGTCGGCGGCGGATGTTCTTGATGCTCGTCCTCCGGCTCCACGTCGTCGTCCTGAAGTTGAGACATATTTTGAGGAAGATCGTCCAATTCTGGCTTCCATTTGCCACCGATGTGACCACGCGGTGGACGTTCCCGGTCCTCCCCATCGTCCGACTCCGAGTACGATCCACCCTCGTCGTCCTCCCCGAGATCTTCCTCCAATATATCGTCCTCCGAGTCGTCGTCCTGTTGATACTCGAACTCGTATCTGCCCAGATCTTTGTTCTCGTTGTTGGCCACCAGCTCGGCCAGTATCGTGTCTTCTAGCCAGGTCTGATGAACATGATGCTCCATCCTCTGCGAGTCGTCCTGCCTTTTCCTGTCCGTCTGCTTCGACTCGACGTGAGACGTCATCAGGATCCTCTCCAACGAATTCTCCGGCTCGTGCTTCATCGCGAACGCGCCACCGTCCATGTTCGCGGCTACGTGGCTCAATTTGCCACGGCTGGTCGTGACCGTGGACTTGCCGGCCGCGGACGAGACGATCTCCGGGAATCCGACGAGCGACGGCATGCACAGATGGTCCGTTGGATCGTCGAGTTCCGCGACCCCCGGCAGCATGTTGTGAAGCTTCTCCTTCACCGTCGTGGACTCTTCGTTCTCCACCTGCGTGCTCTTCGGGCTCTTCTTCCGGTGTTTGTCCTCCTTCTTGAACTTCCTGCTCTCCTCCAGTAGGCCGGTCGTCTTCTGCGTGTTCGACTTGCTGCTGCTACGTAACTCCAACGAACTGAAGAACGCGTCGGCGTTGAGTATCTCCGGGTAGAAGACGGTGGTCGGCGAGGCGGGCGTTGTCGGTGACACACGTACAGCGACGTTCTTGTCGTCCGGTGGCCGACATCCCGATTGACGGTGTCGCACGTAATTCTCCAGGCCGTGTATCGTCAGGTGGCATTTGATGCAGAAGTGAGTGTCGTCGTCGTCCTCGTAACTTTCCATCGATTATCCGTTATCAGACACTGCGAAAGATACGTACGTAGTAATACGTTGACGTTGGTCTTTCGATCGACGCCAATCGAACGGAGTGAACGGAGGGGG